CTTCGCGCGTGTGCAACTCCCGGCCGTGGCCCTCACTGGCACTGCCGTGGGGGGGGGGGGCTGCCTGGCAGATTTTGTCTGTCCTCCACCGGGGAGCGGCCAGTGCCCTGACCCCGCCCTGCCCCTGCCCTGGCAGCCCCACTGCAAGCTTGACTCTGAGCCCCTCACTTGCTACCTTTCCGTCTGGCAGATCTAACCTGAAAGAGTCGTGATGGAGAATAAGGATTTCCCATTAGAAAAAATATATACCCGAAAGGCTGAAAAAGTTTCTAGAAGAAATGTGTCCCCCAGATGTTGCTTGGAATAAGAAATTTCCGTCCCCCCCCCAAAAAAAAAAGATTTGGTTAAAGAAAACCATTCCGTTAGGGGTAAAACTTCAATGTGTTTAATTTTAAAACGTGCCGTTGTCATCCAGTACACACCAGTCGTGTTCCTCCTTCCCCCAAGAAAACCAACAATCTTGACGTACTAAGTTTTGAACAAACTCTGAGAAGCTGTTGTCCGGTGGAAGAGAGTTCTAGATGGTCTGAACTAGTGAGAGTCACACGCTCCTCTCAAATGCAGTCAGGGTCAAATGTCTAGAAAAGGCAAGGCGTTTCGTGTCAGCCCACCACGATGACTCTTTTCTGACTGTGTCCCTCGTGGCTCTTCCGTGCACTCCACAAGGACCCCGCTTTCACCCCAGAAAGGGGGAGACACCAGCCTTCTTCATCCCCAAAAGTCACCTTCTTTATTCCTGCATGACCTCCAAATTCTCATTACTAGCAGGCTTGGTCCACCCTTCTGTGTCGGCATTACACCAGGATGCACATTTCAGCCACCTCTGCGCACAACAGGATGAGTTCAAGTGGAAAATAGATATCAGAGGTGGTTTCTTTTAAAGAATATAAAAGAGGCAGCCACCAGTGGCTCAGGCCTGTAATCCTAGCTACTCAGGAGCTTGAGATGTGAGGATTTTGGCTTAAAGCCAACCCAGACAAGAAAGTCTGTCAGACTTTTATCTCTGATAAATGAGCAAAAAGTTGGAGGTAGAGCTGTGTCTCAAGTGGTAGAGTGCCTGCCATGAGCCAGCAAGTGGGAGAGTGAGGCCCTGAGTTCAAGCCTCAGCTCCAGCACACATACACACACAGAGTGTGCCTCTTGAAGTAGTGACTGGAAACAGCCCTTCGTTAGGGTGACCTCCGCGTCACGTTTATAGAGGCACCCCACGAGCCTCATCCCTGGGGCCTGACATCTGTCTGCCGGCGGTAGGAATATCCAGCCTGGACCTCGAGATGCGGGACGAGGCACGGAGCGCCCTCTGGGGCTTCAGCAGCTCTAGGTGAGTGGATTAGTGGAGGAGGGCGTCACAGCAAGGCCACACGGAACATTGACCCCTGAAGGTTGCGGTGATTCTTTAAGACATCCTAACATCTTCCAGCTTGCACCAGAGATCATTGGCTACTGTGCCCTTCTCACCTTTAGTAGAAGTTTGTGGAGGGAATGTAAGCAATCGCAGTGACTTGGGTTCTGTCTCTGGACAGTGACTGCCTCGCACTGACACCCCCCACTTCTAGGGGCGCCCTCGCGCCTGACCAGGAGCAGAAGCGGGGAGAGACACCCAGGGAGAATCCTCCAAACCCAAGTTAGACATGCCTGTGACATTCCCACCTTGTCCTCCAGCAACGAGAAAAAACCACAGGGGACCCCCAGGCTGCTTGCTCAACCACACAGGAGGTGAGGGGCTAAGAACAAGCCCGGCCTGGCCGCCTGGGGGGGCCAGCCCGAGACGCAGCCCGACAGGCTGCAGGTACCAGGACCGTCGCAGCACACAGCAGCCCACCTGCAAGCAGATGTGGAGAGACACCCCTGGAGCTCAGACGTATTGAGAAAAAAGGTCTCCCAGCAAGCCCGTGACATGAATCACAGCTCCCCCAGCCCAGACAAAGGAGCCATCACCAGCTCCACCGCTCACGGTCTGCCGGCACCGTGTCAGGCTTGGAAGCCACCTGCAGGCAATGCCAAGCCTTTCTGCCCAGCTGGCCGCTAGTGTGCCTCGGAGGCTGAGGCCTAGGCAGGCGCAGGGAGCTGGCTGCAGCCCCGAGTCCAATTCCAGAAACTGTCAGGACAGATGGGTTCAGGCCTGGGCAGTGCAGTCTCAGGGTGGGAGGAGCACCAGTGAGTCCAGCCCTGCCGCCAGCTGACCTCGCAGCTGGAATCCACAGCTTCCTGCTCGGTCTGATCTCTTCCTCCATGGCTGGAAGAGGAAGTCATTGAGCCAGTGATGAAACCATGCAGATTCTCCAGGGAAATGTGTCTTCGGTTGTGCCCTCCGTATTTTTGAAGAGCACATTTCTGGTTCGTTCTCCCTACCCCAGAATGTGGGCGCCACAAGGCTGGGAGACCCTGAGCCCTGCCCGGGCCACGCACCACCCCCTGCCTCTGCATGTTTACTTGGGACCCCCCCCCCACACACACACTCAGGGCTGGAATTGTCTGTCTATAGCACCCACCCTTCACCCTTGCACACTCCATTTGCATTCATCCCATGAGGCCTGGGCCCCGGGCCCCTCCAGCCCTGACGCCCCACCTTGTGCTATTTCCTGGACCTGCTTTTTGTGTGGGGCACAGAGTTGAGCTGCACCCACTTCTTGGGCATCGACACTTTACTCAGACCCACCCAGGCTGGTGGGAAAAACCTGCCCAGAACCCCGCTGAGCTGGATCCTCTTCCCAGGGGCATCCTGGAAGTGCCTGCTCACCTCTTCAACACATGTTCTTGGGAACTGCTTGCTGGGTTAAAATGGGGATGAGCGCACACATGCAGCCCCCGGGGGCAGCCTGGCTGGTGAATGGGACAAGCCCACCACCAGAGACAGCACGGGAAGACGACGGCCACCTCCCCTTGAAAGCACCCAGTGGCTCCCAACTGTCGTCCTAGCTGCTCAGGAGGCCGAGATCTAAGGATTGAGGTTCAAAGCCAGCCCAGACAGGAAGGTCCATGAGATTCTGATGTGCAATGCCAACCAGCAGGAAGGGCAGAAGCAGAGCTGTGGCTCAAGAGGAAGCATGCCAGCCACAAGCATGAAAGCTCAGGGACAGCGCCAGCCCCTGCATTTAGCACCGAAAGGGAGGGAAAGAAGAGAGAGAGGAGAGCACACTTATCCATCTTTGCCCAGAGGTCACCAGCCCTGACCGCAGCCGCCTCCCACCCCGCCTGTTTTCTCTGTGAACCTGTATCAGAATGGGCTCAATTCTTCCCAACCAGTAGCTGAAGCCGAAGTTGTATACAACTGTATACAGAAGACATTCTGTAGCAAGGATCACTTCAGCTCCGGGCTGATGTCACCTGCGTGTTCACCCCAGTGACCGAGACCAAGGGTCGTTTAAAGCTATCTTACATAGTTCTTCTCCGCTTTGCCTTTTCTTTCTCTCTTTCTCTTTTCATTCTTTCTTTTTCTTTCTTTCTTTCTTCTTTTCTTTCTGTCTTTCTTTCTTTCTTTCTTTCTTTCTTTCTTTCTTTCTTTCTTTCTTTCTTTCTTTCTTTTCTTTCTTTTTCTTTCTGTATTTCCACACAGGGTTTGCCACCTAGCCCAGGCTGGCCTGGAGCTCTTCTCCCTCCTGCCTCCCGCTCCTGAGTGCTGGGATTACAGGTGTGTGTCATGTGTCACCACTCTCCCTGTTTGCTCTTTGCACACTTTCCACTGTGGGTATTTCCGTGCACACGGCCCGCTCGCGTGGGCTTTCTGTGCATTAAGCCCTGCTCGCCCTGGCCACAGGTGAACCTGGCTTCACTGAGGGGCATCGTGCCCCCTGCGCCTCATGCCTTGCCAACCCTGGGCTGGCCCTGTCATTTCCTGAGGAAATGCAGAATGGCTTCAGGGCGGGTGTGCCAGACAGATGTGCCCCCGCCCGGAAAGAGCTCACCCCCAGCCCCCCGCCTCCGGGGCACGGACTGTGACAGCGTCTTATTGCCTGTCGGTGGGAATTCATTTTCTGTCTCTCCTCGGTTCCACCTCTCTGGGGCTCCGCAGCCCCCAGCGCCGCGCCCTCGCGCTTGCCAGGCAGCTGGCTGCCTTCATTATTTCTACGCCAACACAGCTGAAACACCCCGGCCGCCTCCTGGCCGCCCGGCACCACCACGGAGCCCACGTCCTGCCATTAGTGCGCCTCGCTAATGAGGCGGCGGAAAGAAAATGAAGGGGAAATCACACGGGCTCGCTGCTCTCTGTGTAGATGGAGACACAGAACCAGAGGCCGCTCGCTGGAGGACCCTCCCAGCCTCCCTCCCCCTCCCCACGGCCCGTGCCCTGGGACATGCAGCCTGGGTTTTGTCCACAGCCACCCCAGGACTCTCCCGCTAAAATCCTGTGGAATTGGGACCCGTGGCCTATTCTGCACTGAGGAAATGAGAAAATGGGAAACAAGATCTCTGTTCCCAGCACTGACGGTGCTGGCCAGGACCAAGGATCTGTAGATGTTTCTAGAATCCGTCTTCTCCCTGCCTACCTCCATCCTGACTCTTCAGGCTTCCTAAGCACATTGTCCAGAAGAGCCTGTGACACTCCCTCAGTTCTAGTCTAGCATCTTGTTTGCACTCAAGCAGAGAAATCATTTCAAAAGCACAACTTCCCTTTATGTCATCTTTATTTAAAATGATGAAAGGCATTTCCATTGTTCTTAAGGCAGAGGCCGAAGCCCTCAGCAAGGCCCCTCCTCTCTGTCCAGCCCCCACTAGCTCCCTCTTGCTGCTTCTCCTCTAGCTACTGGGACCGCGCACATGGCAGCCCTTGTTCAGCCCCAGGACATTTGCCCATGCTGTTCCTAGATGGAATGCCCTCCCCACCCCCACATAGATAAGTCTTCAGTGGTCAGATCTGGGCTGGTCCTCCCGTAGGATCCCAGTTTCACGGGATTTTTGGCAAGCCTGACTGATAGGTAGAACAGCAGGGGACCGGAGTGGCACAAGGTGGAGAGATGGAGTGGGCCGCAGCAGGAGGTGAGCTCAGAGATGGCCAAGGTCAGTGCCAGACAGAGGGGACATGAAGGCCACTAGGTGCCTGTGGTCACTGGCGAGGCTTCTGTGGAGGAACGGCCCGCCAACTGCTGCTTTGTAAGATCCCTCCTGCTGCCACGTAAACAATGACTTTGGGGCCCAGAGTGGTGACACACCCCTGTGACCCCAACTTCTAAGTAGAGCAGCAGACGAAGTAGGATTGCAGTCCAAGGCCAGGCTGGGCATGAGGTAGTGACCCTATCGGAAGAACAAGCAAAAGGGCCGAGTGTGGCTCACGGACTAAGCAAGCCAGAAGGCCATGTTCAAAAGGAGGAAGGAAAGGGGGAGGAGAAACAGGGCATACTTGAGGAGATGCAAGAAGGGAATTAATCTTGCCAAGCAAACGTGAGTAGATTAGAATATTTCAGAAGGGAAACGATCTGATGGTGAATTTCTTGAAAAATTTAATGTAGCAGAGCACAGTGGCTCATGCCTGTAACCCTGGTCACTCCGAAGGCTGAGATGCCTATCTCCACAGAAAAAGCCAAGGTAGTAGTTCATACCTGTCATCCCAGCTACGCAGGAATTTCAAATAGGAGGATCCTGGTTTAGACTGGATCGGGCAAAAATACGGAACACTGTCCCAAAAATAACTAAAGCGAAAACAGGCCAAGAGCGTGGCTCAAGTGGGAGAGCACCTGCCTAAGAACATGAGGCCCTGAGTTTAAACCCCAGTGAAGCCAGAAAATAAAATGGAATAAATCAGACACCAACAGGACTGAGGAAAAACAGCAAAAATAGAATTATGGTGGATCCTAAATGAGGGAAGAGTGTTTATCACTAGCCACAGCAGAAAAGGACTGCTCCCTGGGGATACACTGTGACCTGCAGGGCCCCTGGCCTGGCCCCGCTCCTGGCATGCCCCCCCATCTTTCCAGTCTAATAATGGATGACCCCCTCAGGACAAAGATGTGTGCTGTCTGCTTTAGGACAGAGGTGGGTCTTCATCCAAGGACCACTGCTTCTAGAAAGACAGCCCACCTGGTTCACCTGGAGGCCCAGGTAAGCTCTGCTTCCCAGCTCTGGGTCCTAAGCTCTCCCTTGCCTCTCCCAGACCCCTGTACTGGCTCGACACTCCCTACATCAGTAAGCGCTCCCAGGAAAGGCAGATAACTTTGATTCCAGAAAACTTATGCTGGTAGCAGTGAGGAAGCTGAGGATGTGAAATGTTTGCTGTGATAGATGGAAGCTGGGTTGTGGATGAGGGTCCATCCCTGGCGCCAAAAGGAAATGTTGCATGCTTTCTTACGGTCGGTAATCGTCTACTTTCTGCAGCCTGACAAGTGG